CCTTCAATAAATTCATGATGGTTGATGACAAACCCATTAATGAACAAATTCATGAATTTCAAGATTTCCTCCGTCACCTCCAATCTAAAGGAAACACATTTACTGATGATTATAAAATTTTCTGTCTGATTGATAAACTCCCTCCATCCTGGTCTAAATTTGCTAGAGATCTCCGACACAAGCAAGGAGATCTAACCTTAACTGAAGCCCTCAAGGCTATTCGTATTGAAGACCAGCATAGGCAAAATTCCAAGACCAAGTCTAAATCAAAAGCTAAAGTAAACTTGGTAGAGGATAAGGCTAAGTCTAGGAATTTCAAACCCAAAGGGAAGAAATTCAAGAAAAACCAACAATCCTTCAACAAATCCTTTTCTAAATCCAATTCCAACTCTTCCAGCCATAAGTCTGATGGAAAGTTCTATTATGTCTGTGGTAAAACCAACCACCTTGCTCCCAACTGTTTCTTTCGGAAGAAGGAACCGGCTAAACCTGCTCCTAAAGGAAACGGATCCAACAAGGTTAATATGATTGAAGAAAATCCAACTTTCTTCAGGTTAGCCTCTTCATCCTATCTTGTCAACTCCCTTACTTCTTCCACTGATTGGTATTTGGATTCCGGAGCTAATATTCATGTTTGCAATGATCTCTCTTGGTTTTCAAATTACCAGGAATCACGTAAAGGAAGCATAAGCTTAGCAGATGACTCCACCAAACAAATAATAGGAAGTGGATGTATAGAGCTCACCATGACCTCTGGGAAAGCTCTGAATCTGCAAGATGTTTATCATGTTTCTTCTCTCCATCGCAATTTGATCAGTGAATCTCTTCTCCTTAGAGCTGGCTATAGGATTGTAAAAGAATCCAATAAATTTGTGATCACAAGGGACAATGTTTTCATAGAAAAAGGTTTTACTTATAATGGCCTTTTCAAACTCAATGTAATCAATTCCAGTTCTAATAAAATTTCTGAGTCTTCTGTTGTTCAAATTGTTGAATCTTGTGATGTCTGGTATGGACGTCTTGGACATGTCAATTTTCAAACTTTACAGAAAATGATCAAATTAAATCTTATTCCTAAATCCTCTTTTGACCTCTCATCCAAATGTGAGATTTGTGTTCAAGGGAAACACACTAAAAAACCCTTCAAGTCTATAACTAGAAACTCTGAACCCCTCGAATTAATTCATAGTGATGTGTGTGACTCGAACCGAGTTCTCACCCGAGGGGTAGGAGATACTTTGTGACTTTTATAGACGATCACTCCAGATATTGTTACACCTATCTTCTCAGAACTAAAGATGAAGTCTTAGATAGGTTTAAGGTGTACAAAGCTAAATCTGATAACTAACTTGATAGGAAGATCAAGATCCTAAGATCTGATCGTGGGGGGGGTATACCTCAAATGATATGATTGAATATTGCCAAGAACACGGTATTATTCATGAGGTTACTGCTCCCTATACACCACAATCTAACGGGGTAGCTGAACGAAAGAACAAAACTCTAATGGACATGGTAAACTGTATGTTACTCAGTTCAGGAGCACCTGAAAATCTCTGGGGTGAAGCTCTTCTTTCTGCTTGTTTCATTTTTAATAGGATTCCCCAGAAACATTCTGATACAACTCCTTATGAATGTTGGAAGGGGAGATCTCCTAATCTGAACTTCTTCCGGGTTTGGGGTTGCTTGGCAAAGGTAGCTATTCCCGAACCTAAGAAGAGGAAACTTGGTTCCAAAACTGTTGATGCTGCTTACATTGGATATGCACTAGATAGCAATGTTAATAGATTTCTAGTCATTAACTCTAAAATCAGTGACATATCCAACAACACTATCATTGAAGCTAGAGATGCAGTCTTTTTTTGAAAATATCTTTCCTTTCAAATCCAAAATCTCAGAAAATCCTAGAACATCTATTCCTTCTGATCTACCATCATCTAGTTCTTCCCAGCCTTTTGACATTGAGCCTCGAAAAAGCAAAAGAGGTAGAATTCAAAAGGATTTTGGAGAAGACTTCTTTACCTTTCTTGTTGAAGGTGATCCAAGCTCATTCCAAGAAGCAATGGATTCACCTGAATCTCCTTTCTGGAAAGAAGCCATTGATAATGAGATTATATCTATCATGGAAAACCATACTTGGATACTCGCTGACTTACCTCCAGGCTGTAAACCTATTGGTTGTAAGTGGATATTCAAGAAGAAACTTAGAGCTGATGGTTCCATAGATAAATTTAAAGCTAGATTAGTAGCTAAGGGCTATATTCAGTAAAATGGCATTGATTATTTTGATACTTATTCCCCTGTAGCCCGAATTTCCACTATCAGAGTATTATTAGCCTTTGCTGCTATCCATAAGCTAATCATACATCAGATGGATGTCAAGACTGCTTTCCTGAATGGTGATTTAGATGAAGAGATTTATATGAACCAACCTGAAGGCTTCATTGTCAAGGGTCAGGAAAACAAAGTCTGCAAACTTGTTAAATCTCTGTATGGTCTTAAACAAGCTTCTAAACAATGGCACCAGAAATTTGACAAAGTCATTGCACAATATGAATTCACTGTGAATGAACACGACAAATGTGTTTATTCAAAGGTGATAAACAATGACTATGTCATTCTCTGTCTCTATGTTGATGATATCCTTATCTTTGGAACTTCTCTTGAATTAATCTCAAAAGTTAAGGATTATCTATCTAAGAACTTTGACATGAAAGACTTAGGTCTTGCATATATGATACTTGGAATGAAAATCACTAGAGACACTAGAGGAATATCTTTGAGTCTTTCTCACAGTATTGAGAAAATGCTAATCAAATTCAACTATCATGACTCTAAACCTATTTCCATACCTTATGATTCTTCTATATCCTTGAAGAAGAATGAAGGTGAACCTGTTTCCCAACTGAAGTATTCTCAAATGATTAGATCTCTTCTATACATATCTAACCGGACCAGACCCGATATAGCTTATGTTGTAGGGAGACTGAGCCGGTATACCAGTAACCCTAATCTAGATCACTGGTCTACCTTAGAAAGAATATTCAAATACTTGAAAGGCACAGTTGATTATTGCTTGACTTACACTGGATACCCTGATGCTATGGAAGGGTATAGTGACGCCAATTGGGTCACAGATTCCAACAGTGCAAAATCCACATCTGGTTATGTATTTCTTTTTGGTGGTGCTGTTGTATCCTAAAAATCATGTAAGCAAACTGTAATTGCCAGGAACACTATGGAATCTGAACTGATTGCTCTTGATACCACTTGCACAGAAGCAGAATGGTTAAAAGATCTACTTTCTGAACTTCCTTTGGTCCCTAAACCCTTTCCTCCTATTTCCATTCATTCTGATTCTAGATCTACCATAGAGCTTCTAAAGCAAGTGCATGTAAATCAAAAACTCAACAGACATATTCAAATAAGATATAAATCTGTACAACGCCTGATAGACAAAGTTGTGATCTTAGACTTTGTAAAGTCTGAGAAAAATCTAGCTGACCCTTTGACTAAGGGATTATCCAGGAGTGTGATTCTGGATTCATCGAGGGAGATGGGTTTAAGCCCATAAGAGAGGTCACTGACAGTGGGAACCCAACCCTTATTTGGAGACTTAGTCCTAATGTCGGCTCAATGTGGTAGAAACAAGCTGGACTAGTGACACTCGTGTGGAGCATCTACCCAGATATATTCATATATCACTATGTAGCTTGTGCTACTACCCCTTCTCTATGATGACGATGCTCTTATGATACAGCTGGCTAGGCTGAGTTTTACTCTTAATAAGTCCAATGTGTGTATTATGGGGGATATTAAATAAACAGCTGTAGTACCCTTTGAGGACTTACCTACGTGAGAGGAACCGTGATGGTCGCGGTTGGAGGGGCAGGGCTGACCCTAGAAACTCTCATGAGTCGGTTACTGTGAGCATGGTCTTTAACGCTCAACCCGTTTTGCTCAATAGACGAAGACGTATTGTGTGTGTTTTTGTCAATACCTGATTCAATGGGCCTAATTCAAGGCCTAGTCCATTATGTCCCTCAGGTGGCGATAAACTCACAAAGGAAAGGTTCAAAGCTAGAAGTCACCTCTCCCGAATTCACGATACGAAAGGTTGCCCAACCTATTTTCTTGTGATTTATTGATTTATCTATTGATTTTTATTTTCAGTCAATATTGCCTTTTGGGGGGGACTGTTGGATGTTTAGCTCATAAAAAGGCAATTTTGCCTTTGTGAATAGTCCCACGTTGAAAAATAAAAGGAAGTCCAAGAGGTTTATATTGCTTCATCTCATATTGGGCTTTGAATAGTGTTTTTGGGCTTTATATTTAGGCTTTGCACAACACACACGCGCGCACGCGCGCACGTCACACCGCGCCTCGCCACGCCGCACGCACGCGCGCGCCACGCTGCACCGCACACGCTCACGTTTTTTGTTCTTCTGTTTTTTATTTTGCACATTTTTTGTGTGCATAACGGCTGCGGGATTTTGGGTAACGGTCGAACGTTACAAATCTTGTATTCATTATTTGATTTGTAACGGTTCTTTCCCAACACTATATAAACAGCCGAAGAGCAAGTGGAAAAATACAACAACAAGAACATTTCTTCTCTCTTTTCTTCCAAAGCCTCTTTTCTTATTTGCTACGGTTTATTTGGGCAACCATCTTCGTCTGAGCAGAAGCTCTGCTACTCTCGCCCGAGTTCAGAGGCCGACCGCTTCCGGGGGCTTTTACCGCTAGGGGGGAGAGGATCAACTACGCCAGGACGATAGGCGGGTCCTCAATCTTCTAGGGCAGTGATTACACGACTGCTGTCGTCAGGCCTGTTTTTTCTGATCTAAAAGATTTTATTTTGGGTTTAATTTTATGCTATAATCTTAATTAGTAACTCTTGTACAATCTACATGTTGTGCGTGATGAAAAGTCTCCAGCCAAACGACTAGAGACTACAAATAAGTCACTGTTTTTAAGTTATCCAATCAAACTGGAATGTATAGGTAAACGAGAAATAATTTTTTTTTTAAATAACTGTTCTAGGACAATTTAGTACTTAGTCACTGAAAAAAGATATCGTCACTCCAATGAAGCATACATTTATGAAGGTTCTCAAACAAACTAATTAATGAAGAGAGAATGCAATATTATATCCTTGAGCTCGATCACTTCTCATTTGGTATTCTTAGCAGAGCTCAATGCATCTTGGGCTCTCTCCTTCACTTTCCCTCCAATCTCTTGCGCCGTCGCCACTGCCTTTGGAGCATTATCAAAAGCCTTATCTATCACCTGATCATGATATGCAACATGAAGATACTATCATGAGCTTTGCTACAGGGACTCAAAATATGGGACCAACAGGGGGATAGGTGAAGTGTCCCCCTCCTATTGCATAATGTGATGGTCATCATTAATGATGGCCAGCTCATTATGCAATAGGAGAGGGACACCTCACATGTTCCCTCTGTTGGTGCCATATTTTGTGTTCTTGGGGATTTTTTCTTTGAGATAATAATTAACTTGTGTCATAAGTGATAAATTAATATATGAGTTGAACCTTTGGTATTCTATTATTTATTGTTTGAGGCAACTGTTTAGACATTATACATGATGTTGCTCATTCTCATGACTAAACAAATGACACCCCTAGAATTTGAAGTATTGTCTCATTTATCATTTTCCATAATATTTAAGATAAATCTATGCTAGCTTCTTGAAAAAACTTTGCGTCTTGAATTAATATCAAGAGGAAGAGGGCCAAAAAAATTAACAAATTAATAGTCTTCTGTAAAATACTATATGAATGTCATGATTCAAGGAGGTCACTATCATCTATTATTCTCTTGAGACTTTCTGCAGTGTAGAATGATAATACGTTTCATATTTTTCTAATTTAATATGAAAATTGAATAAAATAAAGATCAAATACCTTATCAGCTGCATCGTTGACTTTCTCTCTAACATCCTTTGCGGTCTTCTTCACCTCTGTGCATGCCTCTTTTATTGACTGGTGAGCTTCATTTTCAGCCTTCTACTTTTTTTCCCCACCGTTTCACAAAGGAAAAATATAATTAAGCGCTCGTCTCATAATGCGTAATACTTGAAAAACCTTAATTCTTTAAATAAATAAAAAACAGAATCCTCTAATTGAGGGCACATTGCTAGATAGACCCCCTTGGTATAGCCCGATTACGGATAGATAACATGTAGTTTTATTTATGCGAATAGAGCTATGATCGCATGTAGTTTTATTTATATGGATACATCGTAGTTTCTTTTCTTAAACTTTTGTTTAAGAAATTAATTGTTCAGCTATTTTCCAAATTTTCTAATCAAATGTTTACGGCCAATAAAGCATGGCTAATTTGGACAAGCATTATTGTAGTTATTGCTTACAATTAATATGACGACGACGACGACGACCACAAACGAAGAAAAAATAATTTATTTTTGAAACTCTATTTACAAAGAGAACAGACGTATAAGATTCAATGATGAAACAGAACGCATGAAGATTTTTTTTTTTTTTTCCTTTTCAAATTTAATTACCTGCAGAGGCCTTGTAGCAGCAAAGGACATAGCCCTTTGTCCCATGAACTGCCTCAACCAGGGCATGCCACGTGTAAGACCCGTAGATGCCATTAATGTCTCTTTAATATTCTTTGTAAATGAGAACTAGTTGGAAGAATTAAGGACGAAGAAGAAGAAGATGATGATGAACTGCTAATTAAAAGTGAATCCTATTGACCACGGTAATAAACTAATGTTAGCCATTATTACATCATGAAGAGGAATAGTAACAAGTGGCAATTTGGGAATATTTGTCGGTTGCTTTAGGTTGAGGAAACGCGCATATTTTGGCTAGTCTTTCGGGGCCTTAGACTTGTTCATTTTTTTCCAAATTGATTATGACCCAAATTCAACGTTAATTACTAACTCCATAAATCTCGTCATGTGATCTTTAATTTGGAAGTTAATAATTGTATTCATTCCCAAGGTGAGCTTTGCTATGGGGACCCAAAATATGGGACCAATAGGAGGGACAAGTGAGGTGCCCACCTCCTATTGGATAATGAGTTGACCATCATTAATGATGGCCAACTCATTATCCAATAGGAGGGGGACACCTCACTTGTCCCCTCTATTGGTCCCATATTTTGGGTCCTTGAGGAATTTTTTAACTTTTTAGGGGTTATTAGAGCATCTCCAATAGCTTCCTCATTTCCCACTTTTGTAGAATATAGTTAGTTTTTGAAAAAATTGTTTCAAGGCCCCAATTGGAAAAACAATGTGCGACAGCCCCCTGTACTTTTAATGTTTGGTATAAACCCAAAATACACTCCAAAACTTCATTTTAGCCCCTCCAGCTCACTCAAAACTCAGAATCCTGAATCTACCCTTCCTGCCCACTCTGCTACAGCGTCCGTGCGTTGGTAACGGTGCCGCCCACTCCGCTACTATCGAGGCGCTCTCTCTCTCTCTCCTCTCTCCCTCCCAGCACTCTGTCTCTGGCTTTCTCTCCGGCGAAAAACCAAAATCCGCTTCTAGGGTTAGGTCGAAACCATATCGCAGATGGAGAAAAAATCGGCGAACGAGTTCGAAGTTGTTCACCATCCTCCGCCGCCGCTGCAACGTCAGGAACATGCACCAATGAACGACGAGCGAGAAGACTCGCCGTCGCCTTCCAAGACCGACGAAGATCCTCCCTCACCTTCCAAGACCGACGAAGACCCCCCTTTGCAATCTAAGACCGACCGTGGCACCGATTCTCTCACATCCTCCCCTGCCTCCAAGTCGTCGTCCACTCATTCTCGATCATCAGGGAATGGCAGCACCGATGAAGCCACCCAAACGTTGTTGAGTTTCCAGATGGGTGTAAGGAGAAAAAGAAAAATTACAAGTTCACTAAACGCACCACAGAAATCCATAAAGAAGTAAGATAATGTTATATGTTATATTTTCCAATTTACATAGATGTTAAGGGATTGAAGTTGAATTGTGAACTATATGCCTGGACATTGGTTGAAGGACATGTTAGCTGATACCTTAATGTTAAATGTGAACTATATACCTCTTATTAATGTTAAGTTTGGCTGTTAAGTGTTAAGGTTTATAGCGTAACTGTTACAGTTCATTGTTGCATGTTAACTATTGGATGTTGGATGTCAAGTGTTGTTGATGTTAAATGTTTAATTATAATACAGGAAAAAGTCAGGTGCTGCTAAAATTAGACCCACTGCAAGTTTCTCCGCATATTGTAAATTTATGAAAGTCCTCGAACCGAGAATGCGGCAGTGTCATTGGGATGCATACCAAGGGTGTACATTCCAGCATTATGTAAAGTTTGGCCCCCCAGCAAAAGATCGACCCACGCTGGAACTTGTATTGAGACACTATAAGGGTAATGAAGTGGCGTTTTCTCTGCCCGATGCCGAAAGTGGGAGAGAAAAGGTTGTTAATTTTGATATGGACTGGGTGCATGAACATACGGGTTTCCCAATTAATGGGGAAATAATTTACAATAATAGAGATCCTTTCCCTAGGCTTTGGGTGGAGTATTTTGATGAACATTTTACTAGAACCACAAAGAAATTAACGAAGAATATGTGGCGATATGTGGAAGAGCTACTGCAATCTCTTGTTGAATCAAGAAAGAAGAAGGATATTGAAGATTTTGTGTTACTGCAGATACTTTATCAATGTTCAATGATGTGGTGCCCTAGCAGTGTCCAAGGCATCCCAAGGCTCTTGTTCAAATATATTGATTCAATTGAAAGAGTGAGGAATGTGGCCTGGGGAAAATACATCTATGATCAGACGAAGAAAGGAATTAAGATTGCCAGGGAAGGTATGCACAGGTCAGGAGTAAGCTATGTACCTGGATGCATGCCTTTGATCCCTGTAAGTTGGATTAACCTGTGCATGTGAACGCTTGCTTGTATTCTGTCAACTTACGTCAAGAAACCATTAAGGCTTACTGGTTCATGTTAACTATTCTAAGGATCTAGTTAACTATATTTAGGTTCATGTTAACTATAGTGTTTCCAGTATTAAAGTTGGTGTTGTCAGTGTTAACTATATTTCAGTTCAGTTCTGTTAACTATATTCATGTTTAATTGTTTGCAGCTATGGTACTATGAAATGACTGGGATTAAAAGATATGCCTTAAGCAATAGATTCAAACCACCCCTCACTAACTGGGTGAAGATTGGTGAGAAGTATGGATCTTTTAGAAAGCGCACAATAGTTGCCAAGGCTGCAAAAGCTAGCATCCAGGTTGTACATAAACCAATAGCTGAAATTGGCCCATCCGATGAGAAATATCCAATCAGAAGGCCATTGATGAGGCTTAGAAGGGATGCGCTCATACCACAATTTCCAGTCGTACATAGGGAGGAGAAGAAAGCAGCAGTAAGGAAGAGGAAGATTGAAGAAGAAAAGAAGGAAGAAGAGAAGGAACATGAGAAGAGATGGTCAATAGGTTTGGTAAGTTCTAAGGTGCTAAATATTATCACAAGAATACATAACATGTTAGCAACAATAGATAACATGTTTTCTACAACAGTTAACATGTTAGCAACAATAGATAACATGTTTTCTACAAAAGTTAACATGTTTGCACAAGAGTTAACATGTCAGCAACAAGAGTTAACATATTAGCAACAAAAGTTAACATGTTTCAACAAGAGTTAACATATTATCACAAGAGTTAACATGTTAGCTACAAGAGTTAACATGTTACCAGAGAGAGTTAACATGTTAGCAATAAGAGTTAACATGTTACCTATAGATGATTGAAGAACCTTTAATTATCTGTGTCAATTGTAGACCACTTACTGTTAACCTTTATAAACTTGATGTTAACTCTTTGTTATTTCTAAATTATAGATAATGTCAACTTACTGTTAACCTTTATAAACTTGATGTTAACTCTTTGTTATTTCTAAATTATAGATAATGTCAAAAGCCATTGATGAGGCTTTCGAAAGGGAAGATGAGATTGAAACGTTACCAGTTGAGGAGCAACTGCAATTTTGGAGAAATGCTGCTAAAGTAAACCAGAGACTTTGCCGTACACTGAGGGTCTCGAAGAAATTGTATTGTCAAACTTTCATGGACGAGATTCGTAGACTTAACGAAAAGGTTAAGGGGTTGGACGAATCTTGTGACATAGTAGATCCCTTGATTTTAAAGAACAATGTGAAGAAGCTTATTGCACAGCAGCTGAAAGGAAACCCTACAGTGGAAGAAGAAGAAGAGGACAAGCATGAAATCGATGACGACGTCACCATGAATGAAGGTGTCGAGGAAATGGGCAAGAACGAAGAGAGAGAAGAAGTGACCAAGGATGAGGAGGACAAGCAGATGGTTGAGGATGAAGAGGGCTCGAATGGAGAGAGAGACGATGTTACCAAGAATGAAGTTGTCGAGGAAATGGGCAAGAGCGAAGAGAGAGACGAGGTGATCAAGGATGAGGAGGACAAGCAGATGGTGCAGGAGGAGGAAGGTGTGGTTGAGAAAGTTCCACTCAGCGAAGGATTGAAAAGGCCGAGGAATCCGGTGAGCAAAAAATATGTGGGTTATAGGAGTAGAGCTCCAAGCAAAAGAGCAACCAAGAAAGGTAAACTGGTTAGGACACCATTTACTGAGGATAAGAAACCGAGGGCTAAGGGATTGAAGTTGAAAGAAGGTGAGCACAAAGATGAACCCATTGTTGTTGGTGACACCCCAAAGAAAATAACAGTTTACCATGACGACAGTGTTGGCAAGTGGGATGTGCTAAAAAGCACGTATTTAACAGATGTGGATCGTGCTGCCTTAAAAGAGGTGAATGAGGGTATCCCTGATGTAGGCACGTTTAGCTTACGAGTGTTAGATAGCGCTGGGGCTTTTGTACATAACTACAGAATACCAAAAAATGTTGCAGAGAAACTCTCAGCTGAGGAGAACAAATGGCTCGAGCAGTACTGCAAGGAGAAATGTAGCCCGTAAGTGCTGATTTCAAAATGTAAAGCTTTCACGTTTAAATTTAAGCAACAAGGGTTAACATGTTAACCACGAGTGTTAACATGTTAACAACAAGAGTTAACATGTTAGCAACAATAGTTAACATATTATCCACAAGACTTAACAGGTTAGCGAAAAGAGTTAACATGTTATACACAAGAGTTAACAGGTTAGCCACGAGAGTTAACATGTTATCCACAAGAGTTAACACATTAGCAACAAGTGTTAACATGTTATCCACGACAGTTAACATGTTATCTACGACAGTTAACATGTTAAGTAATTTAATGCTAACTCTTTAATATTAACTGTGAAACTCTGTTTTTTGCTTGTTATGTTTGTGCGTTTAGATGTTAGCTTTCATGTGAAACTCTGTTTTTTGCTTGTTATGTTTGTGCGTTTAGATGTTAGCTTTCATGTTTTAAATTTTAACCATCTGTAACTTATTGCTTGTTAAGGTACGTATATGTCATAACTACTAATAACAGCGCAATTACATACCCGGAACTATTGTATATGATCCGCGGGGGAAGACTCGATGACAAAGTAACAGAGGCATTCTTAGATAGATTACGGCTATGGCTGCAGTTGCCAGAGAACGCTGAATTAAACAAGCAGTACGGGATTGTATCTATATATTTCTGCGTAAGGCCAATCCTCATATAATTAGTTAACAGATAAGCTCTTATATTTAACATGTTAACCAGAATAGTTAACATGTTATCCACAAAAGTTAACATTTTTTCCATAAAAGTTAACAT